GGSMMCCYKKGRMCCCCCCTGGATACGCCCCTGAGAACAGACCCCGTCGGCTCCTCCTGTGGTATATATTGGATGCTACAAGCACGTATATTACCAKGCTGGACTGATCAATAAACTCTCGTTCAAAGTAGACTGTTTCTTACATCAGGCGGGAACAGAGTCGGAGACGTAGTTAGGATCGTCTTCTAAAGGCGGATTTGTTGAACTCTATTCATGTTACACACTGGCTTAYTTTTCTGTGATTAATCTGGATAGGCATAACCATTGTCTTCTCAGCGGCGATGTGCTTCCTTACCTATACATAATGAATTATGATTCTAATTTTAATTTAAAAATACAGGAATTCGCATATAAATCATTGTAGTAATTTCAGTTCACTGGTTGTAGATCCTTCTCCAAAATGGCCGCCGCCTATGAGCATTTTATTTTTTATACAACAAAAGACAAAATGAATCCTTAAACTAGTAAAAAWTGTGTTTCAATGGATTCACTATGAAATTCTAGTAGATTCTAATGAAAATTTGGAAATGTATAAAGGTTTGCCTTGTGTTGGAAAAAAATGGCGGCCATGTTTTGGAGAAGCATCTTTTTGGTTGGTTTAAAAGTAAACACATTGAATTGATTAGCAAGCTKATTCGGTGTTTGTCATCGTACCTTGCGTTTAGCCATTTGCAAGTCCTCAAYAAACTCTTTTCTTAAATTATTATAAATTAAACAATAATTGGAATGGAACTCTTGGAGTTCGGATTTAATCGTGTCCAGGTATCGTCTGTATTTTTCATTCACGATTTCGTTTGTTTGATCTGCAGGTAAAGGGTAGAATTTAAATAGATTAGCACGATCGGCACGTTCGAGAACGGAATAGGTCATTTTTTATGAAATAGGAGATTGCATCGTTGCTTTTTTAGGATTATAAAAGTCATCAAGAAGCCGCCAGTTGTTATACTTCAGAGACATTTTGAAAAAAAAATCACATCAATAAATAAGCGACAGTGTTGTACATATAATGATTATAACTCAAATCGACTGTGAAACYGTTCAAAGGACAGACTCACCTCGCTTACGGTATATCATGAGATGATAATACAGCCCAGCTAAAAATATCGCCAACAAAGCCAATCCCATTGCCATTATAGTATAATTGAAGATTGTACTSTCTGGACTCAAGAAATTGAGTGATTCTTTTGTAATTACAATCCTTTCAGCTGTTTCCTATGCAATAATACATAGCAGACTTCAAAAACTGGCCACAACGTACATTGTTCATTTTCACTAGTGAAGCGGAAGAGGTTAAGCTGAAAGTTTCCTTTTATTACTCTGAATCCTTAACATCTCCTTTCAACGTCTCGCTAGTTTGCCTCACGCGTCCACCTCCYTCTCCGCTTACTTCACTCACTTGTGAAAATGAGGAAATTAGGAAACGGTAAGCTTCAGCTTTTTTCAAGCGGTATAAAAAGCATCAAAGAAAGACATGGTTAATACTGAAAGGAGGCGCCCACAGTTTTCACAGTTAAAATGATTTCATCAGGCTGATATATTMACAAAATTGTTAGATTCGCACAGAAGAGAAATCGAGTAAAGTCGACATCTTTTCATTTTTTTAATTTTTTCATATCATTTTTTGGCGTTTAGCAAATGGAACTTTGTTACTTACCTCTTCCTCTTGAGTCTGGTTCTTGTCAGCAATGTAAATCTTATCCAGTCTACCAGCTAGTTGCATTATCTGTGAAATGTTAGCTGAGATGTACTCYCGAAAATGTCTTTCAAGCTTTGCAGCATTTCCATTGAGGAGAACTCCGTACGAGAATGAAGAACCGACGGTATCGCTGTATTTAAACCAAGTACCATTAAAAAGATTTTTCTTCCATTTGACGGTGTAGTGGTCAAGGACAATAGAGTCAATCTCTTGTTCCTTCAACGCATAAACCAACTCTTCGACATTTGGGAAAGACAGTACTGTAGGAAAACAAACCATTCAAGTATAATTAATGCACCTGGCACTAATTGCGTCAGTAAATCAAGCCTACCAT